ACAAACTTTAAAACTTCCATTTAATGTGATCAAAAATGTTCACTGCTTTTTCCAAAATTGCCCATCTTTTAATATGAAGGTTGCTTTTGCTCTTTTCTAGTTTTTCTCCCTTCCTTTTCCTATTTCCTACAAGAACTTCTTTCTACTATTGCAGAATGAAATAATCAAGCTATGAGATGTTTTAGACATGAAATATCCTATAAATGTGGATCAAAAGATGCATTCTGAACCACTTTAGAAATTCTTAAAAGAGAAATAAATATGATTTGCACATTGCAGCTACTTACGTTTTCTTTGAAGTGCCTTCGTCTATTTCTGAAGTGCTGATAAAGATATTAAAAGCAGAAATTAATTTTGTTCTGGCAGCAGTTGAATATTTTCTTATTCCCTGGCCAGCTTGGCCTAATCATTGATTTGTTCAATTTAATTGCCACCCATCTTGTTTCAAAGTGATCCTGGGAAGATTACAGCATTGAAAGATAAATATTTCTGAGACGATAAAAGTGCTCCTAATCAAAGACAAATTTAAATAAATGATAACTAAAAGATAAAAGATGGGGAGGGCGGGAGGCGGATGTACAGCGGGAGAGATGTGGGATTGTCTCTTAATCCATCAACCACCTCCAGTGAGATGCTCTCCTCTTGGGGGCCCCTAGCGACCTGCCAGAGCCAGCTCTCCAGGTCCTTATGGAAGGTCAGAAATGCGGCAGCTGATCTCACCTCAGGAGCTAAGATGTTCCAAGGGGGAGGAGCCACACAGAGGTGGTTCTTCTCCTGGACTCTACCAGCCAAAATTCCTTGGCTGATGGGGCCTGCAGCTTGCCTCTTCTGCTGGCATGGGTGGGGTGGACCAGCCTCATTGAAGTGAGACTGATCTTCAAGTAACCTGGATCTATGCCATGTAGGTCTTTAAGTGTAATAAATAATACTCTGAACGGCATCCCCAAGCAAACCAGCGACCAGGGCAGTTCATAGAGCAGTGGTGTAGTGTGTGTATATTACAGCAGCACTTGTACCAGCAGACAATTGTATGTAAGCTTGCTTTTTGTATGGGTCCTCCATGCACTGGATCTATCATTTTAGTCCTTTCTTTTCAAATACTACTGCCTTTAGACTTGCAGAAAGATGTCTTTAATCTCACAGTGTGGTCTCTTCTGTTGGGTTGGCAGGAAAGCCAACTTCATATTTAAGCCTTCTTACCCAAGTCCCAAGACAAGTTGGAACATACTTAGTTAGTGAGTGCTAGAATTAGGAGGCATCCTCTGTGTCCTAGTTCTGCTTCTCCTGATCTGAATTTTTAACTTAAAATGCTCTTGGAGTGCGAAATATTTCAGCTACTAAAAATGGACCCTTTATTTTTTGGAATGATTTTATGCTTACGTTACAGGAGAAATTAGGATATTAAAATCCTGTAGGCAGTGCATTTTATATTTAGTTTGTATACGCAAAGGTTTTGGGTGTGTAGAATTGTTAATTTTAATAATGAAACTGTAACAGTTACACTATAAGTTAGGTGATGTTTTAAACAAATGTCTCATGTAGAAGTATCTTGGAGAAAAAGTTCTAAATTAAATTACAATCCTTGACAGACTGTAGTACTCACTCAGGGTTTGGAGAGGTTTCACTAGTTTCTTTTTCAGACCTGACAAAGAAGAGACAAATGTTTTAGCAGGATAGAAGTTAAAAAGAAAATATCTTAGAGAAAAAGAAAGTTCTAAGTTAAAGAACAGCTCTTGACAGACTGTACTACTCACTCAGTGACTGGAGAAGTTTCACTGATGGGAGTCTCTGTTTCATTCCTGACAAAGAACAGAATGAACTTTTAGCAGAACAGAAAAGAAATCTTATGTGGCTAAGATTGTCCCCCTCTCAGGATGGAAAGGGTGATGGCTCGTTTGTTTTCAAACTTCTTAAAATGGAAGGAAGTTTTAGACTGGTTTTTCTCAGCCTCAGGAACTTTAAGATGTTCATATTAAGCATTATTAGGGAATTCTGGGAGTTGACAACCCACCAGAGGTGGTATTCAGCAGGTTCTGACCAGTTCTGGAGAACTGGTAGCAGAAATTTTGAGTCGTTCAGAGAACCGGCAAATACCATCTCTAACTGGAGATTTTACAGTATCCTTCCCCTGCCACGCCCCCCAAGCCACACCCACGGAACTGGTAGTAAAAGAAATTGAGTCCCACCACTGATCCATGTGTCTTAAAGGCTTCTGTGATTGAGAAACTCTGCTGTAGATAAATCTATTGGAGAATTTTATTCTTCTTGACAAATTAAACAAAATATCATTTTATCCATTTTGCTTGCCTATAGATTAGGACTAGGAATTTCTTAGTATAGCAATTACAAAGCACAACCATTTAATATAAATATGATTTATAAATTCAATAGTTCTAAGACTTATATACAGCTTCATAGTGTTTTACAGTTTTCTCTAAGCAGTTTATAGAGTCAGTATATTGCTGCCAACAACCCGAGCCCTCATTTTAATGACATCAGTAGGACGGAAGACAAAGTCAATCTTGAGCCAGTCAGGCTCGAACTCCTGGCAGTGAGCAGAGAGTTAGCCTGAAATACTGCATTCTAACCACTACGCCACCACGGCTCTTTCATAAATTCAATGAATTACAATCTATAGGTAGATGTCTCTTAAAGTAAATAAATAATGCCACACACACATAAGGCTACAGGTACTCACAGATTCTTTGAACTGGCCTTTTTAACAGGCTCTGGAGCAGGAGCTGCAGCAGGCTCTGGAGCTGGAGCTGGAGTGGGAGCAGGAGTTGGAACTTCAGCTGGAGCCGGAGCCGGGGTTGGAGCTTGAGTTGGGAGTGGTGCTGGTGGTGGCATTAGGTCTCTAGAAGACAAAACGGGAACAGAGATTAATCCATGGGCTTAGATTAATACTTATTAATAATGGGTTGATAAAAATCAAAGTTGTGCTCTTTTGTTTCCTTGTGTCAACCCAGCATTTCACATTTTCTTTGAAGGGAGAAACAATTGTGTAATTGCTCATGAGCATCCAAAGATCGCTTTGCTGCAAAAGCCAGGGGTCTCCTGCGTGTTAGGGAATGCATGTGTGCACCCAGGGACTCACCTTCATTGCACCTCAAGTCCAGTTTTTCCAACATGCCTAAGCAGACTCTTCTCCCTCCCCCACCCCAAGCCTTTGATTCTTATATACATTGGTTTATTTTATGTATTCTCATTCTGCTTTACCTCATTCTGCTTAATTCATAGTTGAGAGTGGGAATGAAAGGATAACTGGGTTACTGTTGGACCAGCTGTGGGGAGACCCAAATTCAAATCTCTACAAATGTCATGGAGTCCTCTGAGTGATTTGGCGCCATTCACTTCCTGTGACAAACCTACTTCACAGGACTGTTGCTGCTGGGATAAAATGAGGGGGGGACTCTCCTATATGCCATCTTGAGAGGTAAAACGGATATATCCAACAAATAAAAACATAAGCAAATATTTCCCTGGCATTGGTAAAGAAGCGGATTAGCTGGAAATGTTCCTGTCTCTTCTATATCGCAAGAGACTGTTAACAATCCTCCAGGAGAGGATGCAATAAAATAACAAGCCCATTTTAGCCAATATGAAAAAGTTATTTGTCACTGAACAGAATAGGGTCTTTTTTGGTTTTGGTTTTGTTGCTGATCCAAACACAAAGGCTTTCTATTGTAGTTCCTTTAGGACTGATGCTGAGCCTGAAAGCTTTTACTAGTTAAAGGCACATCTGTTCACCCAGCTGCTTGTTTAATTGGTTCTGCACCCTTGCTGCTCTAGATTAACAGGTTTGGGGGGATTTAAATAAATATTTGGGGTGGATTTATTGATTTAATAACCTGTTTGTCTTCATATTGGGCTGGACTTGTCCCTGCAGTTTTCTTAGTAGTTTGCCATTCCCTCCTTCCCAGGGTGACTGATAAAAGGTCACTCAGCTGGCATAATGTCCAACGTGAGATGAGAAATCACCATCTCTTGGTTTCTCTTCTGGTGCCTAAATCACGGCACCAAACTGGATCTCTATCAATTGTGGCTGTTTTTAGTTTTACACTTGCTAAAATATGAGGACAATGTAGCTACGTTTGAAAATAAAATACTTTATTGCCTGGGGTAAGCCCTTGTATACATAGTATAAAATACCTAATATATTCAAAATTATGAAATTCAATGAAATATTGTAGGAAGTTAGTACCCACCCCTCTCCTAGAAACATGAAATTTCTTAGGAAATATTAAAAATGCAGAATATTTCCCCTAAAAAAATAGAAAGTCAAAGAAGCAGAAACTCAGCCCCTCCCCATCTTTGCTAATGGACCATTACTCTGGCCTGGGCCAGCCTATTTTACATAACAAAGGTCTACTCCAGGTAGAGCTATAATAGGAATTGTCCAAAGCCCTTTCATTACATCATCATCCAGCAAGGTTCATCCAAGCCTGGGACTCAGGAAAGCCTACAGAGTTGTCTCTGCATGGCCCCACGGGAGTTTGACAACCAATCAGAATACAAGCTCAAATTCAAGTTCCAACAGACGGTATAAAACCTATGGACTTGCAGCATGTCCTTCCTACTTTTCCTTCACCCAAATCTTGAAACATCTTTTTCACTTTGGAGCTCAGAGCCATGTGGTCCTGTCCATCATTAAACCATTTTTCCAAACAGCCTCCATGTTTCCAGTGTCTTTTTCCCCACTTGGAACTGAACCCAGAAGGATAATTCTTCCAACAGTACCATAATTTATTCTTACAATATCTTTAACTCTGCTCAGTTACTCAATTAGGTTGGAAGCAACACTCTAAGAACTTCTAATAACTTCATCTCAACAAAAATGCAGAAGGCTTGCTGTCGTACTTGAAAGATTAAACAGGGACGGCTTCCGGTTTGACTGTCTTCACGGACAGACCGAAATCGCGATCATGCATGTTTTCAATCCGTGCTCACCGCTGGAGCACCCTGAGCCAGCTGGTTTCGGGGATAAGCCACACCGTAGAGGTGGTGAGGGAGGAAACTGCCAGTAGGGTTGAGGAGAGCCTCATCTCTCCTCTTCAGCTGGCCATTACTCCCTTTCCCGAAGGTGGTTGCAGAGGTGGTCAGAAATGGCCACCATAAAGAAGAACTCGACTGGAAAAGAATGTGCAGGAGGAAGATAAGAAGTGAAAGTTTTGGCTGACCGGGTTGAACTGGAAAAGCAACAACTAAGGTACCCTAGAATTTAAACTAAAAAGTAACTGTTCCCAAAGAAGATTCTGAAGCAGCGAAGGAGAGAGAAAAGGGAAAGGATTTGGCTTTATTTCTTCTCTCCCTTTCCCTATACTGACAACTAAGAGATCTGAACAAGAAATTGGAAAAAAAAACTTTGACATCAATAGGCATTTAAGCTGAAAATAAAATGCCAAAGGGGTAGTAAAAATTTCTGGATACTTAAAACCTTTTAAAAGTAGGAAAGGAGAGAAAGAGAATAAAAGGGCAGGATCTGGAAAAAAGGGAGGAGACTGCCTGGAATTAAAAGGATTTTACAGTAAAACTACAAGAAGACTTCTAAAAGATACATTTTAACTGAATCTTGGCTACAAAATAGTAAAACCCCAGGAAGGGAAAGTGGAAAAAAGAAGCATGAAGAAACAGCTTGGGAGTATTTGGATTACTTGATGATCTCTGGATTATTACATTTGAATGACTAAAATCAATTGGGTGGTTGTTTAAAAGTGTTTTAAAATGGTACTACTTTTAGATGAATTGAACTTAAAAAGTACAAAGAAGATGCACAAGAAGGGAGAGGTTCTATTGGCTTCATATTTCCATTCTTAGAAATGGAGATCTCGAACTATGAGAGACAACAAGAAATGCCTGCAGAACAAGGAGACTGGGACAAAGAAGAAGCCGTCTTTAATAAACAAGTAATTTTATGTGGGGGGGAAAAATAGAAAAGGGGGGAAAGAGAATGAAAAGTTTAAGATTTGAAAAAAATCACCAAGAAAAGGAATAATAACTTGAAAAATAAGTATAATATTAGAAAGCAACAGAAGAGAGGAATACAGAAAAGAGAATTAGAACTAGAAAGACAATGGGGTAAAAAGGGGAGGGAGAAGAAGAGAGGGAGGAAGGAAAGGAAAAGAAGTTATGAAGGACAGAAACAAGATATGGCAAAACAGGGCCAATTTAGAGATAATGGGTGAAAATTTAATTGAAAAAGGGATTCTGCAAAGGTACGTAAGATAGTATTGTTATATTAGAAATAATTTTAGAAAATATGAAACAATGTATGATTAAAATGATGGATAAAATAGTTATTGTAATCTAGTGAAATGTTTGTTAATAAATAAATGAAATAAAATGAATGAGACAACTGAATTAGGAAAGAATGGGAACATTTTAATTATTTAATATTTTATAAAATATAAGGGAAGAGAAATAGGGGCGAAAACAAATTAATTACGGAAAGCTCATAAGTGTTCCCAAGGAAGGATGATATTTAATTGAAAAGTAATGTTAAAGAAGTTAAAACTTTAATGAATATTAATGATAGAATTGAATTGGAATGGAATGAGTGTTTTAATTACATATATTTATAATCACTTTTTAAGAATAGACTGTGTATTTTAAGAATGTACCAAGCAGAATTTGATTGGAAGTTATGTATTATATTGAATGTTATAACCTCAAGGTATATATTGAAGCTTAAATAAGAGTTGAATGGATAAAATTAAAAGATATAAAGGTGTCATACTCCAATTAGTAACAACAGGAGAAATTTTGTTTAATGAGAAAAGAAAATATGAAATTGAAACAG